CATGTGTGAGACTAGGCATGCAACTGCAAGTGTCACCCTCAGCTGCAACTACAAGCATCACCCCTGTTTGCAATTGCATGTCTACACATCCGACTGCAACTTGCCTTTGTTTTGTCGATGGGCGGCGAGAGAGGGGGGGGCAATTGTATGTCTGACACTAGGCATGCAATTGCAAGTGTCGCCCTCAACTGCAATTGCATATCTACACATCTGACTACAAAATGACCTTCGTTTTGTTGAAGGACGATGGGAGAGGGGGTACTTGCATGTCTGAGACTAGGCATGCAAATGCAAGTGGCACCCTCGATTGCAAATGACCTTTGTCTTTTGGGGGGGGGGTGCAGTTGCATGCCTGACACTAGGCATGTAACCGCAAGCATCACCCACGACTACAACTGCATGTCTACACACTCGACTGCAACTGGCATTTTTTTGTCAAAAGGGCGGTGAGGACAGAGGGTAGTTGCATGTGCAACACTAGACATGCAACTGTAAGCATCGATCCCGATTTGCAAGTGCATGTGTTCAACGAATCTACAACTCTGTGTCGTTTTGTGTGGGTGGGGATAGATAATTGCATGTCTGCTAGTACGAACGCAACTGCAATTGTCACCCACCAACTATAAATATGTGGTGTTCTATTAAGGATGGATAGTTATATGTCACCCAAACTGCCTTCAAAGGTGCAAATACAGAGTATAATGTTTCCTTTTCCTTGTTTTGTTTAGTCTTGTTGCACCCGCCCTTTTCCTTCTTTTATCTATTTTAGTTTTATCATTTTTAAATTTTGCACGGCGCACCACACCCCACAGCCTACGCACAACTAGAGTAGGACACTGTTTATTTTATTTTTATTTAGTTTTCCCTCTTTTTATTTTAATTTTACATTGCACATCACATCACATCACATCTGCAACCACGTTGCACACACGACTAGTGTTTTTTTATTTTCATAAATATTGTCTCCATATCTAAATTGTATGCCTTGCTATTTTAATGTTTTTCATACATTATTTTATCATCTTGTTAATGATCTTTTTGTTGCACTTTTAATACATTAACATTGTAGATAATTTATTTTTATTTAATGGTCGTATACTTGCATATAATTAATCGACCGGGCTTGACTTTTTTGGTGGGTCTTTAATTTTTTTATTTTGGAGACTTTTTGTGGCGTGATGTGTTTTTGGGCAAAATAACTGTGCTTTAGGTGGTCGTCTTTTGTTTGGCAGTAGGCACACAATACATTGCCATCACGTTTTTTTCTTGGCACATGTAAGCATTTGATTTTGAAGATCTCATAGGACAACTCATTTTTTCAGACTATTTTCTCATTATGTTTTCTTTACGCCCCTTTTCTCTTTATTTTATTTTCTCCAACTTTTTAGTCAATGGAGCAACCTATTCCGGGTATAGATTAATTACAAGGATGCACAAAGACAATCTAGCGTAGCTGCTTTTTTGCCAGCCGAATGTAGCGCATGTTGTGACAAAAGTGTGACAGGCTTCAGTGCAGGAAAAGTACAAGCCAGACAAATAAATAGTCCAGCCCAAAAGAGACAAACAATCTAACAGGCCTAGCAGAAACAATCAAAAGCCCACTACTCAAGCCCATGACGCTGGAAATCAAACCCAGCAACTAAGAAGGCTGAACGGGCCAAATCAGATATTAGATGACATCAGCCGACTGAGACTTCGTCAAGTCTCAGTCGACTGATTCCTATACACACCCTTATATCTACATAATTGTACCAAAACATATTATAATCAGTAAATCTTCGAACTACATCTGGATAGATCACAATTGATAGATTATCACAGTTGCACCAACAGATATCACACACGAAAAATACTCTTATTTGCATATAATAATTATTAAGTGAACTATAAATAATAAGTACATGTTACCCCCTATTTAAAGGTATAAGTTCTCACCACATATAATCTAAAAGAGCGGATAGAATGAGAGTCCTACAAAATTATGGCTAGCTAAAAATTATGTTACAATCTCATGCTCCGTAGACAATTTATTACTATTGGCAACATATAATTTTTTTTAGGGACGATATGTAAAAGATGGCAAGGAGTGGCAGGCACTAACATGAGCACCGATGAAGGAATACATAAATGAGTGTTGATTACTGGAATCGAAGGCTCGAGAGTGTGATTGTTATTGATTTGTTAACAATATCGTCTTTTTAGGAGATGGATACAAATTGTATATGCAAGCAAGAACCTGAACTCAAAAAATAATTTCTCTGCAAGAAATATAGGCGCGGATCGGATTACTTTGTATAGCCATGCACAAAATTACAAAGAAGCATACAGTTCCAGAGCAAACTAGCAAACATATGACAATTCATATAGCGAGTCCGTGGATTAGTTTCGTTGATATCATCACATATCACCGCCTGACTGTACAAACATGTATTTTTTTAGAGAAAAGTATCAACATCGTTAGATATTCCATAAAAAATATTTCCAATTTTTTTATTTCCTAGCAGCATAATATATAAAATAAATGTTAAAGTTACACCTTAGAAAATGTATCCATGTCTAAAACACCGTGCCTTTTGCAATGGAGGAAAATTTCTTATTTCCTTTTCGTGTTTTAAGCCACGAAATCACTATCCAATGACTAGTCACGTCAGACTGAGCTTTAAGACTGCGATCTAGCTAGATTTTTAGAGGAGTTGAGTAATCGAAAGGTGCAACTTAATTATAAGTTTACCTGAATGAACAGATAGAAAAACTTTTATTTACCTGAACAATCCCAGCATATTGTGCTCTTCGATGGTTCTCAGCTTGCTCAACCCATGTACCCGGCCAAGGTGCCCCATCGGCCATCCGAGTGGCATGTACAACATCTCCATTGTTGTATGCATCTGATCGTTGGCGGATGGTTGTAGAAAGGGAATCTATTCTCACCATGAACTCATCGTATTCTCTGCGAACACGCCTACGATCCCTCGTGAAGTCTCCCGCCATACTCCCGGCGTACGGCTGTGCTTTCATCCCAAAGTAGTTCTCTGGGGACCCTGGCTCGACGCAATGCTTCCGGCAGAACGGGGCCCACAACGCAGCGAAACTGGCCACTTGGGTCATCGCCTCGTAGTGCACCAGCGTACCACCGTCATCTGAGAGGTAGTCAATGGGGTAGTCGGCGGCGAGGATGGAGAGGACGGTGTTGACGGTGTAAAGGACGGGTTCGTCCACGGGGTCGACAGTGGTGACAAAGACGTCGATCCCTGGGAGGATGGCATCGCCGTGCTGGTCCGCGAGGGCGGCGAGGTCGGGGACGCGTTTGATAGGGTTGAGCTTGGTGAGCTGGTTGAGGAGCCATGAGAAGCCAAACCATGCATCCGCGACCATGGACGTGGTCTAGAGCCACATGCCGTCGTGGTTCCTGTGCTCCAGGCGCCACGAGAAGAAGGCGACGACGGCGACCAAGCGCACGAGAATCAAGAACCTGTTGTTTTAACAAAACAATCATAGGTACTGAGAAGTCTCCAAGAAAGCTATCGCCCGGCTTTAAAAATAAAGACATCACCACGTCCATACAACAAGTGCAAGTGCAACGACCTGTAAGAATGCAGGATGCTTCCCTTGACCTTCATGGTACGGAACAGCAGGGGCTGGTTGCCGTTGCCGGCACTGGTTCCCTCATCCGCGGACACCCACACGTCGTCCTTGGCGTCGAGAATCCGCTTGGCCGCGGGCGCGTTTGCGGCGTCAGGTTTGCCATCCGGGACCTCGACCCGGAGGGCGTTGACTCTGCGAGTGACCGCCGCGGCCATCGTGTTATCGATATGTAAATGTAATGTACGTGCACCCAGACTAGACAGCTGATGGTCGATGCTGGTGTCCCTTCCCTTGTTGGTGTCCCTTGTTGGTGTCCGGTGGGGGCTTATATAGCCAGCGCGTGGGCAACTGGGGAGCATGTACCCACGCACCATACCCAAAGAGGCATGCGCACGCATAGAGATATGGTACTTGGTCTCATACACACACGCCGATATCCTTCACGCGTGGTGCATGCATTTTGCATAAATGTTTTCGTCATCGCTTTTGCGTTTTTGTATTTGTATTTATTAGTTTTGTCTAGGTGTTGTCCTTTTGCTCTATTTTATCAGGACAGGAAAATTATGATCTTCTGTTGGGGCATTTACAAGAAAAAAGTAAAAAAATCGCGCACAAAGAAAAAACCTAGTTTACTTGAGTTATTTATATGAAGA